CCCCGTGTCCTCATATGGTCATCCCTCTGTGTTTGTGTCTCTGTGTCCAAACTTCCCATTTGTTAGGACACTGGTCATACTGGATAGGGCCCACCCTAATGACTTCACCTTAACAGGATTATGTCTGCAAAGTCTCTCTCTGAATAAGGTCATGTCCTGAGCACTGGGGGGTAGGACAGTAACACATGAATTTGTGAGTAGGGGGACACGGGGTCTCCCAGGTCAGCATCCTGGCTTCCCCCACAGCTCTTTCTCTCTCTGACCGCTGGTGTGGAGCAGAAATGTGCCCACCCACAGGCCTCGAGAGCTTGATGTGGACGAGTCCGGGCCTCCCCAGCATGGAGAGCAGGGGCTCAGGGTGGGCTTTCTGGCCCCTCTGAGTGATGGGCTTCTCCAAGGCCCCAGCCGACCAGCCATCCAGCAGCACCTGCCTGGGTCTTGGGTCCTTTCCACCCTTAAAACTGGCCTAAGCACCAGGAAAGTGAGCTGCGCCTGCTCCCAGCACCTCTGTGGTCTTTGCCGGCCCCCCCACCCCCAAGACAGACGTGGCAAAATTTAACCAGGAAATCCATCTCACCCCCTTCAGGAGGTTCCCCTGTGCTCCACTCAGAAGGCCACGGAGTGCTCAGTAGATTTTCTCTGGAAGCTGGAAAGGTCAGTCCCATCAGTCAAGGGTGGGTGTGCAGGAGCAGCTGCCCACTCCCCCAGTCCCCAGAGGTTGGCTCCCATTTGCAGGCAGCTGCGTGGTGGGGCGAGGAGCGACTGGGGGCTACTTGCTTTGCCCCTTGGCTGCCAATGAACGGGTGGCACTGGCCTCCCGCCACTGGGGGCTGAAGTGAGCCTGGGGGCCGTGGGCCCAGCAGGAGCTCGGCTCCACCTGCACAGCAGGCCCCTCCCTGCAGGGGCTGGCGCAGAGGTGGGGGACTGCAGAGCCCTCATCAAAGGCCTCCACCATCTGTCCCAGCCCCAGCATCTGGCGCCCTGGGCCCTGCCTGCCATCACCTGCATCCGCCTCTTCCCTTGAAGTTGGTGGCGAGAGGCCCCGTGGTGGTTTGGTGGTGGGGTGGAGAGGAGGCTGTGGAGGGGGCCAGGCTTGCTAGAGGATGCCTGTTGGTGTGGAGGTCCGGGGGGTCCTTCACCTCCCCTTCCACTCTGGGTGGTCCATTGTGAGGTATTGGGCACATGCTGCGCTCCAGCCCGCGTCCCCTCAGCTGTTCCTGTGGTTTTGGCTTCCTGGCCTCTCTATGGCACCTCACCAGGTCTGTGGAGCCTGGCGGGTTGGGAGCTTGGAGGAAGGGACAGTCCTAACCTCGGATCACATCCCAGGAGGCCCTTGGCTGGATGTTTAGAGTCAGGCCAACAGAAGAGGCTCAGCCGGGGCTGGGCACAGCACACAGGTGGCCAGAAGTGTGTGGTGGTGCAGAACCCGGGCTGCCCAGGCTCTGGGCTGGGTGCACAGAGGGGAGGCCCGGGCAGCAGGTCTAGGAACAACCCCCAAGGCCTTACCCCAGCTCCTATTTTCTTTACGTCCCGTCTGTCCCCCTTGGCACTCACCCAGGGGACCCATGCACATGGCTCATCAGGCGTCATCTCAGCTCAGGGAACCCGGGTGTTGGGGAGGGCTGCGCACGCCTCCGGCACATGTGGCTCTAAGTGCATCGGCCTTGGTCAGCGGGGCGTGGGGACATAACAGCAGGCCCCATTGCACTGCTGGGCGCCCACTTCCTGTCTTGGCCCTGCAGCTTGGCTAGTGGCCGCCTCGCCTCTCTGAGCCATGTCTTCATCTGCAGACCTGCCCTGGTAAGGGGAGTGGGATGCTCGGCACCCGTGAGTGCTGAAGGGATGGCTGTCCTGCAGATTGGGACAGCACTGGTGAGGGCAGCACCGTGGACCCCCACCATAGTGGCACCACAGCCCCCAGCACACTGACCCGCCAGCACTGTCCTGGGGCCTGGAGTGCTCCTTAGCCCAGAGCCCCTTGTCCCGTGCCCTGACACGGAGACTTCCTGCTGGACTGTGGCCTTCTGCCCCTCCCACCCCCTGCTGTGAGCATCTCCAGGGCTGTGTCTGATGCACTCTGCTCTCCCTCACCCCCAGCATGTCTGGGCAGTGGGTGACTTCATGGTAACAGCTAGGGGGGCGGAGGGACTGAAGCTCGGATCTGCCGCACACCATTTATGAAGCCCTGGGCAGGTCACTTCACTTTTCTGAGCCCTGGTGTCCTCTCCTAGAACACAGGGTAGCAGCAATTCTGCTCTCGAGGCTGGGAGGTGAGGCCGTTCCAATGATGGCTGATTTTCAGGCTAGTATGGGGTCCCTCCCAAGGTGCAGTGACTCGGAAGGAGCCGAGGTGGAGGCTGGTCATCTGTCCAACACCCAACAGAGTCCAGCCGTCACCCCAAAGCAGGACCTGGATCCTCACCCCAAAACTCACTGTGGACACCAACCCCCCCAAACCCAAGTCCAGTACCACCATGGCCAGGTGCCCTCCCATCGCTGCCAGTCTCTTCTCTTCCCACAGCTGAGTTGCTATACTTCTCTCCCAATCCCTGTTCTGTAGCCATCTTGAGAAACTGGATGGACAGAAGGATGGATGGATGGGTGTGTGTGTGGATGGACAGGTGGGTGGGTAGTTAGATGGGTGGATAGATGAATAGATGTATAGATGGGTGGGTGGGTGGATAGAGAGGTGGGTGGATGTATGTATGAATGAATGGTTGGAAGGACAGATGGATGAAGGATAGGTGTGTGGGTAGATGGATGGATGGGTGGGTGGGTGTGTGTGTGGATGGACAGGTGGGTGGGTAGTTAGATGAGTGGATAGATGAATAGATGTATAGATGGGTGGATGGGTGGGTGTGTGGGTGGATGGACAGGTGGGTGGGTAGTTAGATGGGTGGATAGATGAATAGATGTATAGATGGGTGGGTGGCTGGATGGGTGGGTGGACAAGTGTATTAATATTCCCGCCATCCACCTAGTGACCCAGTGCAACGCGGGGGACTTGTCCTTGACTTCCCTACTGTGCTTCTCTTGCGTTTCCAGTCATGCCCAGGTTCTCAAGCTTCCACCTCCTGGTCTTGACTCCGCCTTGGCCCTCCGTCCTCTGCCCTGTGCTAGGCCTCCTTCCCTTCCGTACACACTGTGCGTCTTCCTCCTGCCGAGTCCTCCCTTTCCTACCGATCCTTCTGTGGCTTCCTGAGTGGCCTCTCCTCTAACGCACTCATAAACGTGTCACTGTAAGCTCCTCCCGTCCCTTCTCTTTCTCCCTTCCCGTCTCCTGTCCTCTGCTCTGGGTACTCGATGACGTGGCCAATGATCTTAAGCTCCCAGTTTTGCTCCGGGTCCCCTATGGTCTCTTGCCACTCACCTTCTAGCTTGCCTGGGGGGGGGGGTCCTTGCTCCCCATTCAGGACCCAGATGAAGCCTCCCCACGTCTCCCTAATCAGTGCCCCACTAAGTCTTTCTCCTCCACGAGAGCGTCGATGGTGGGGCCAGAACTCGTGAGACTAATGGTGACAATATGTACGAGAATAATAGCAATACCTGGTGAGCACGTGTCTGGGCTCTGCGAGGCCCTGGGCTACAAACTCCTCACGCGTCGTCTTTGGAATGTCCCGTGGAGACCACACCGTCATTCTCTGGTTACGAAAGAACCCAAGGTGTCAGGAGGGGGTGCGGCTGAGATCCTCGGCTCGGGCTCAGCGGGGTCCGCCCCAGGCCTGGCGGTCCTGCAGGTCTCCAGCTTCCTCCCTTTGGGGCTGGCTGCAGGGCCGGCCCAGAGCAGCTCCTGAGTGCACAGGCACGCCGGCTCGGGCAGCGCCCTCGCGAGGGACAACTTCTGCCTGGACCCTGCCCCGGGGTGGGCCCGGCCCCCTGCAGGCCCCTGAGCCCAGTGCCCCTGAGGACGGGAGGCAGAGGGCCAGGATCTGGCAACCACCTCTCTCCCCCAGCTCCAGAGACGCAAGATCAAGTGCTACTTCCTGTCGGCTGGAGTCACCGTCCTGCTGGTCATCATCCTCATCATTGCCACCTCTGTCCGAAAGTGATGCCACCTGTGGTGAGTGCCCACCTGCCCCCACGCCACCATCCCTCTGCCCATCCACTCATCTGTCCCTCCTCCAGTTCTTCTATCCATCTGTCCATCCATCTCTCCTTCCTTCCTTCCTTCCATTTATTCATCCATTTATCCTTCCTTCATCCATCCTCCATGCGTTTGTTGAGTGCTTTCTCCACGTTGGGTTCATGCTGGGCCTGGAGACCCAGTGGTGAGCGTGGCAGATGTGGGCTCTGTGTTCCTGGAGCTCAGAGCCAGTGTCGGGCCGCCCGGAACTCTCCCTTTTTCTATGCACTGACCTCCAGAAGGCCATGGATGCCACTTCCCCTGGGGCCACAGTCCATGATCATAGCACACGGGGCCATGCAGTGGGCCCGTGCTGGGGGCCCAGGGGAGAAAAAGAGCTAGTCTTGGAAGCTTCGCCAGCTCTTGTAGACAAGGAGCAGTGGGTGTTGAGACACATGCTGGGACTGGGGAGCCTGGGTGTCGCCAGGGTGCAGGGCTCTGGGCTGGAACTGGAGTGGGCTGCTGATGTGGATGGATCATGGGAAGGGTCTCCAGTGTCACGTGGCACCTATGACATGAGTAAGCAGGTGTGTGAGTTATCTTTCACTGCGTAACAGATTAACTTAAAACTNTGTCCCTCCTCCAGTTCTTCTATCCATCTGTCCATCCATCTCTCCTTCCTTCCTTCCTTCCTTCTGTCCTTCCTTCCATTTATTCATCCATTTATCCTTCCTTCATCCATCCTCCATGCGTTTGTTGAGTGCTTTCTCCACGTCGGGTTCATGCTGGGCCTGGAGACCCAGTGGTGAGCGTGGCAGATGTGGGCTCTGTGTTCCTGGAGCTCAGAGCCAGTGTCGGGCCGCCCAGAACCCTCCCTTTTTCTATGCACTGACCTCCAGAAGGCCATGGATGCCACTTCCCCTGGGGCCACAGTCCATGATCATAGCACACGGGGCCATGCAGTGTGAGAAAAAGAGCTGGTCTTGGAAGCTTCGCCAGCTCTTGTAGACAAGGAGCAGTGGGTGTTGAGACACATGCTGGGACTGGGGAGCCTGGGTGTCGCCAGGGTGCAGGGCTCTGGGCTGGAACTGGAGTGGGCTGCTGATGTGGATGGATCATGGGAAGGGTCTCCAGTGTCACGTGGCACCTATGACATGAGTAAGCAGGTGTGTGAGTTATCTTTCACTGCGTAACAGATTAACTTAAAACTCAGTAGCTGCCGAGCCCGTGGCGCACTCGGGAGGGTGCAGCGCTGGGAGGGCAGCAGCACTCCCGCCGCGGGTTCGGATCCTATATAAGGATGACCGGTGCGCTCACAGCGCTCACTCGCTGAGTGCGGTGAGGCCAGTCTCAAAAAGGACAAAAAAGAAAAAAAAAACTCAGTAGCTAAAAACAAGCATGTGTTATCTCAGTTTCTGTGGGTCAGGAATTTGGAAGTGGCTCAGCTGGGTGGCTGTGGCTCAGAGTCTCTCCTGAGGCTACATCGTGTGAAGGCTGGATGGTCCAGAGGGTCCATCTCCACGATGGCTCCTCCTGGGTTGGGGGCTGGTGCTGGCAGTTGGGAGGCCCGGTCCTCTCCACGTGAACCTCTGCACAGGTCGCTTCCCCCATGTGAGGGCTCCGAGGGCTGATGCCTCACTGGTCAGCTCTGCGGCGTCCTGCTGCTGACCAGGCTGCCCTCTGTGGGCCTCACTGAGCAGCAGAGGGAGGCAGAGGCAGATTCGCACTTGCTGCTGGCCTCCTGTGTGCCAGGCGTCGCATGCCCATGTCTACATTAATCCTTGAGGCCTCACGGGGAGGGCAGAGCCCAGCCCTCAGGGCCAGGAGGGCTGTGGACTCAGAAGGTCTCAGGTTTCCATGAGGATACACAGGGTGCCTGCTGGATGTTGTGTGGCACCTCCAGTGTCTCCCTGGTCAGCTCGTCTACCACTCTGCAGCAGGACCTCCAGAGGGTCACATTAAATAGGACATATGAGGACTCCAGGTGGCCTCACTTCATTCAGGTTGGTTCGGGTTTTGCTACTAAAATCTTGGATAACAAAGGGAACTCCTGGCACCCAGAGCTCCCCGGTGCTGGGACAGCAGGCAGCATTGTGGGCCTGGCTGTTATGGTGCCGGTTTTCTGAAATCAGGCTCAGCAGCTTCCACAGGGGCAGGTGACATGGGTTTGATTGCTGGGAAGGGCCAGGCCCAGGTGACCCTCGGTGACCCACCCCAGTGGCCGCCCTGTGCTGGGGCCCTCTGTGGAGGAGTGGGGTGAACAGAGTGGGTGGCTGCATGGGGCTCTGGAGTGGAGGGCTGGGCCAGGGCCTCCCGCCCATCTCCGAGTCCTCCAAACAGGTGGTTTCCTGGGAAAGAATCCCCTGAGAATGAGCAGCAGGAAGAGATGCAGCAGGATGTAGCACCGGGTGGGGGGAGGCACCAAATACAGCTCGCGGCTGGATCCAGCGGCACAGTGAGACCCCCCGCCTCCCGTGTGTGCCAGCACAGCACGTGTGCAAACACGTACCTGCGTCCACTGCACTCCCGTTAGCCCCACCCCTCCCAGCCTGCTCTGATGTGGCCGTGGAACCAAGCCCCAAACCAGCCGCCATGATAGCAATGGCAACTGTGGCCATGGTGACGACCCCTGCAGTGGCTGACTTGTTTCCCCCAAAAGATAGGTCCAGGTCCTAACCCCCTGCACCTGTGAACATGGGCTGACGGGTGCAGGGCAGGGCCTGGGCTGGGGGAGCAGGGGAGGCCACTGGGTGAGGGGACAGCAGCTTGAGGCTGGAAGACAAGATGCGTTGAAGCCCTGGGGCCATGTGGGTGGTGAGGTCCAGCAGGGCAGGGCCCCAAGGCAGGACCCCAAGCAGAGGTGAGGAAGGAGGTGAGGAGGGGGCCAGCAGGGGCCAAACCAGGGAGGTCCCTGAAGTCTCGCTGGTGACTTGCAGTGTGGAATATTACGGGTGTAATAGAAGCTCTTGGAGGTGGGAGCGAGGACAAGCTGTGTCCACATCTGTGCGGACAAGGAGGCTGTGAGGGCTGACGACAGGGACAGGCGGGGCGAGGAGCAGGCAGATGGGCCTGGGGCCAGCAGGCAGGCTGTCTGCTGGTTGGATGAGGGCCCCTTGCTCTTGCAACCAGCTGGGGTAGGCATGGCTCTCAGCACTGCAGGCCCAGCAGGGTGGGGCTTGCCAGCCCGCCTGCTCCCCTCTGTAAGGGGTCACCCGACCCTCTCCGCCTCTCCCCCGCCCCCAGGCCATGGCATCAACTCCACCCTCCTC